TCCAGGGTTTCGGGTTCGGTGTGCTTCCAGTGTTGTTGTTTTGTGTCACCTTAACGTATGAGTAACATTTTGAATAAATTGTGTATTTCCTTTAATATCAGTTAAAGGGGAACATTGCCTGGTGGAGTTTGGCGGAATTGTCCGGCGCTCACCGGCTGAGTAGTTGTGTTTTCATGCGCGTATGTGATGTCTGTTGAGCCCACAATGAAGCAGGTGGTGCCCTCTACTTCATCAAAGACGGTCGTTACCAAACCGACTGCCGGCGCTGATCTCTCCGGACAGTGGCTGCAAACCTCAGCCCATCGAGATCTTTACCCCCCCGCGTGAGAGACTGTTACGACCGGCCCTAGGGAACCAAGCAAGAGGAGTTGCGGGGAGAACCGGTTCTTGACCGACTGTGTCGTCGACCCCCACCTCCCCATTCAGGCTCCTCCCTCTCGCCGGGAGGATTCCGGAATCTGCTGTGCGTTCGTGACCATGTTTGGGCATTTTTTAGGGCGCCGTGGCCATCTTTGGGCATCGTGTTAGGTTGTGCCACTCCATGTGTTGTGAGGTGTGTTTCCCCCTCCCTCGTGGCCGAGGTGCCGGGGCCACCGTATTGGCTGACGATGCGGACAATGCGCCCAGTGTTGGCAACGCGGCGCTATAAAATGCCGAAGACGTTTTGTATCTCTCTCTCTTCTCTCTTTGGATCAGTTGATCACTTCTCAACATGTAAATAAATCTCTGTCGTTCGTTCGGGCGCTTCTTCTCGCTGCATTGTTGGACGATGGATCCTGCGACGGGGCCAGCTACCGAAAACGAGACCGGCAGAACCCGGAGTCCCAACAATAGCAAGCTCGGAAAGATGTCACAAACACAATGGCCCGTGGTTTGAAGCATGCTCACTTCACAAAATGCAGCCGTGTGCGAAAACTAAACTGACACAAGCCATATTGAACTGAGTTCGTACTGGGGACAGAATATCGCTATCGCTTACAACTTTTAGAGGCGTAGCCTAAAGATCCCCCAATGTTATTTCTTGGCCTTAGTTGCTTTCTTCCAGTGCATATTTGCGCTTCCTGTCACTCGCCGACGTGTCTTGCTACGGGCGCTACCTCCACGGAGATCGCTGTTTATTGGCTGTTGCACCAACGAGGCTCAACCAAAAAGATTTCGACCATTTCATTTTTTTTATCCTCGGGTGTTTTATTCAGTCATGATGGGAATATTTCACGCGTGAGAGTTCTTCTGAAGCAACGCCCACGCGCATCTCCTATACAAAGATGTTTTATTGCATTACTTTCTTCGGCCAAACCGTAGATGTCCTCAAGATTTCTACTCCAACTGTTCAGAAGGTACTGTTTCTCGCTATACGGCAATAAAGCTTCTGTACATATAGAAAGATGGCACAAAATAAAGGTGGTGGCCCATTTACATTACCGCTGTCTAGAAGTGGTGCTGTGAACACAGCACACTATGTGGAAGGCTTTTTTCTCAATTAGGTATTACCCAGGCCTGACACGCTGTCGTACATTTTCTAGAGATAGTTTAGCAAAACTGAAAGCTGAGGCACCTGAAGATGCAGTTGTCAAAAAAAATATAACTTAGAGGGTGGTTAAGCCTCGCCTTTAAGAGTGGAACATCATAGCGTGATCGGTCACCGATCACAACACCTTCTCAATCGCTCGACGCGCTTTTCTTCTCGGTGACCACCAGCTGCCGTGCATAGGAGCAAACACGCTCTCGTGCTTGTGAAATTAGCTGTTCATACTGTAGGTACAGTTGCGAAGTGCCCACCATGGCAAAATTCATCATTTTGGTGTGTAAGGAAGCACTCACTTCGCGCGTACGTGAAGCAAACTGTTGTAATAGATGGGAAGCTTTAAACCACCGATTCTGAAAGTAATGCACGTGTTAAAGCGTCTGGTGTGGTTTTAAGTTCCTCCCACTCTATGTTACTTCTACCTACGCGACGCCTCAATAGGGTTGCTCGATAATGTAACACCTGAGCTGCACGAGGAGCGCACCCAATTCAGCCAGATCACGTGTTGTTCTCGTTTGCATCCATTTCATCATCATCATCATCATCATCATCATCATCCTGATTACGTCCACTGCAGGACAAAGGCCTCTCCCATGTTCCACCAGTTAACCCGGTCCTGTGCTTGCTGCTGCCAATTTATACCCGCAAACTTCATAATCTCATCTGCCCACCTAACCTTCTGTCTCCCCCTAACCCTTCCCTTCTCTGGGAATCCAGGTTAGTTACCCTTAATGACCAGCGGTTATCCTGTCTACGCGCTACATGCCCGGCCCTTGTCCATTTCCTCTTCTTTATTTCAACTATGATATCATTAACTCCCGTTTGTCCTCTAATCCACTCTGCACTCTTCTTGTCTTTTAAGGTTACACCTACCATTTTTCTTTCCATTGCTCGCTGCGTCGTCCTCAATTTAAGCTGAACCCTCTTTGTAAGTCTCCAGGTCTCCGCTCCGTAGCTAAGTACTGGCAAGATGCAGCTGTTATACACCTTCCTCTTGAGGGATAGCGGCAATCTACCTGTCATAGTTTGAGAGTGCTTGCCGAATGTGCTCTACCCCATTCTTATTCTTCTAGTTACTTCAATCTCGTGGTTAGGCTCTGCGGTTATTACCTGCCCTAAGTAAACATAGTCTTTTACAACTTCAAGTGCACTATTACCTATCTCGAAGCGCTGCTCCTTTCCGAGGTTGTTGTACATTACTTCGTTTCGCAGATTAATTTAAGACCCACCTTTCTGCTCTCCTTGTCTAACTCCGTAATCATGAGGTGCAATTCGTTCCCCTGAGTTACTCAGCAATGCAATGTCATCGGCGAAGCGCAGGTTACTAAGGTATTCTCCATTAACTCTTATCCCTAACTGTTCCCATTCTAGGCTTCTGAAAACCTCCTGGTAAGCACGCCGGTAGGTAGCACTTGGGCGGAGATTGTGTCCCCCTGCCTACACCCTTCTTGATTGTATTTCTGTTGCTTTCTTTATGAAGCACTATGGTAGCAGTTGATCGCCTGTAGATTTCTTCCAGAATGTTTATATATACTTCATCTACGCCCTGATTCCGCAGTGTCTGCATGACGGCTGATATTTCTACTGAATCAAACGCCTTCTTTCTTAAGAACATGTAGTGGCTGCATAGCAAGCTCGGAAAGATGTCACAAACACAATGGCCCGTGGTTTCAAGCGTGCTCACTTCACAAAATGCAGCCGTGTGTGGAAGCTTAACTGACACAAGCCATATTGAACTCAGTATGCACTGGGGACAGGATATCGATATCGCTTTCAACTTTTAACGGCGTAGCTAAAGATCCCCCAATGTTACTTCTTGGCCTTAGTTGCTTTCTTCCAGTGCATATTTGCGCTTCCTGTCACTCGCCGACGTGTCTTGCTACGGACGCTACCTCCATGGAGATCGCTGTTTTTTGGCAGTAGCACCAACGAGGCTCAACCAAAAAGATTTTGACCAGTTCATTTTTTTATCCTCGGGTGTTTTACTCAGTCATGATGGGAATGATTCACGCGTGAGAGTTCTTCTGAAGCAAGGCCCACGCGCATCTCCTATACAAAGATGTTTTAATGCATTAGTTTTTCTGCCAAACCGTAGATGTCCCCAAGATTTCTACTCTAACTGTTCAGAATGTACCGTTACTCGCTATATGGCAATAAAGGTTCTGTGCATATAGAAAGATGGCACAAAATAAAGGTGGTGGCCCATTTACACCACCGCTGTCAAAAAGTGGTGCTGTGAACACAGCACACTATGTGGAAGGCTTTTTTCTCATTTACATGTGACCCTGGCCTGACACGTTGTCGTACATTTTCTAGAGATAGTTAAGCAAAATTGAAAGCTGAGGCACCTGAAGATGCAGTTGTCAAAATATATATATATATAACTGAGAGGGTGGTTAAGCTATGCCTTTAGGAGTGGAACATCATAGCGTGATCGGTCACCGATCACAACACCTTCTCAATTGCTCGACGTGCTTTTCTTCTCGGTGACCACCAGTTGCCGTGAGCAAACACGCTTTCGTGCTTGTGAAATTAGCTGTTCATACTGTAAGTACAGTTGCGAAGTGCCCACCATGGCAAAATGAATCAAACTGTTGTAATAGATGGCAAGCTTTAAACCACCGATTCTGAAAGTAATGCACGTGTTAAAGCGTCTGGTGTGGTTTTAAGTTCCTCCCACTCTATGTTACTTCTACCTACGCAACGCCTCAATAGGGTTGCTCGATAATGTAACACCTAAGCTGCACGAGGAGCGCACCCAATTCAGTAAGATCACGTGTTGTTTCTGTTTGCATCCATTTATCATAGACAATGGCACCACTGCTAGCACCGGAACTTCATTGGCATGGGATCTTTCACACCATCCTGATAATATGCATCTATATTATGCATTGATGTGCCAATTGTTTCAGCTCCTGAAAGCGGTAACCAATTGTTACCTCATCTTTCGCTATTCCATTTTTGGTTAAGGTAACGCTGTTGTCCCCTTATTTTGGGTCAGCCGCAATGCATATACATATTTGCTGTGGAACCTCTATTGGGAGAATGAAATGCGTTGACGACATATTCTGACACCTCCTTCAACTACCATCTGAACCATCTTACATAACCTGCGCTGTCACCCTATTACACATGTATTCACATACATGTTTCCCTATAGTGCTCGCCCAAGAACATTTGTGCGTTAAAACGTGAAATTATTATTATTTGGCACCAAATAGTACACTGCTACGGCTATTGTGACACTATCAACGCAAGTGACCTGGTAAGCCACTTGCATTGTCCAAGTTTTTCTAAAAGGAGTTTTTCCTGGAAGAACGCGGCCCATCCAAAAGAAATTTATCTGTAGTTATAGCGCAGATGCATTTTAAACAGGAAGAAAGAAAGAAATAAGTGGAAGAATAGGGGGTCGCTTCCATCTATGCTCAGCTTCTTAAGCCAGTATTGTATCCAGTACTGCGATAGCAAGAGTTACCTGAAGAAAGTTGAGTCGTAGTATTGGACCAGATCGGACAGGTGCTTGAACTTGAGCGTCATAGCTTCGCCGTCCACGTCAAAGTTCGGTCCAAGGCGTCGCATAAGTGCGCAGAAGCACACGTAGGCGTGCGACTCGTCCCGCATGACTACCAGCAGAGGTGACGCGAGGTCGCTCATGCCCTGAATCAATAAGCCAGAACCACATGCATCATTACTTTACTGCCTCCAGAAGCGCTCCCTGTATACCTGTCATCAAGTATGGCACACGGGCAGCGTTCGCTCACCTGACAATAGGACAGCGACGGATGATTCAGTGCGAACGTCGTGAGTAGGTTGAAGAGCGAGACCACGTTCCTGTTGTCGTCTTCACCTTCGTAGAAAGGGTGCGAGCGATCGGTGCGGAGAACATCCTTGCGCACCATGTTGATGACCGATTGGATGTCCCCACTGAACGCAGGATTTTCCACGAACGCTTTCCAGGCTGTGCGCAGCTCGATGTACTGGTCACTTTTCCGGCGCATATACGCCAGCCTTTCGCGACCCGTCAGGCCTTCAGGGTACACGTTCAGGATGTGTTTCCAGATGACCTGCAGACAATTTCCTTCGCCTATAGCAGCCGAGTCCTTGGCATTATTCCACTTAGCTCTGGGCAGGGAGGATGACTGTTCGTTGGGGTATGTTCGTTCTTGGTCGGTTTCGAGCTCTAGACTACCTCCCTTAAGCATCCCTTCAAGAATCGCTATGTCAGCACTATTTGAGCGAACACGCCTGTTACGCATATACAGCTTTCTACAAATGACTTTATATCAGGACAGTAGAACAATCACGCGGTCTTGCCATGTCGTACACGTATTTAAGAGCCTGTACACGCTCATTGCCTATAGAAAAGATGGCAGAACACTATCCCTATTTCCAACAAAAAAATTCTTAAGATGAAAAGCCTTGATCCTGTAAGCCAAGACGAGTTCACATTAAGTGTATTGTCAGCAAATGTTGCTCTATAATGTTTTATTGAGATGAAATACAGGTACGAAGGGGTGAAAAGTTCGCAGCCTACGCTCCCATAGGAATATAAAGGGATAGTGGCCTGGGAACTTTTGCCCCCCCCCCGGACCCTATACATCTACACTGATAGAAAAACTCCAGAAAAACAAACAGGTGAACCTTTCTGAGAGATGGTTCGACTCCACCCTTGTAAACTGCGAGGCGCAGCTCTTGCGGTTTCAGCAGTCGCCCTTCATCGTCCAGGCAGGCGCGGAACTCACGGTCCCCTACTGGACACTCCGTTGCCTGTTTCTGGCTGCCCCCGGTCCAGGGTAAGCTAATGACCGCAGAAAACCCGCCTGGGGAGCCCGCCGGCGAGTCGAAGCTGGGAAGGTTGAGAACCCGATGGAATCTACTCAGTGTCTTCTCCATCTGCAAAAAGAACAGCCAGGCTGCTGCCTTGTAACGAGGCTGCGCCCGCACTCGCCGATCGGGCGCCAGTGGCACTCGAATGCCGGTTGGCGCGGCCGCAGCCTTGCTACCGCGGTTGCTCCTGAACAAGTTCAGCATGGCCGTCAACGATCTTCCTCCTCGAAGAAGGGTGGATGGGTAGTTGGTCAAGACCAGAAGGAATGCGTGAACCCACTACGAGGGATTGGCAATTAACCGGGTGCCACTAATTGACGTGGAAAAGGAAAAATGACGATAAAACATAACACATAGTTCATAACAACAAAAATACAGGGTTGGTGCTCTACTTTTCAATGAAAGGAATACTAAACAAACCATAGTCATATTAACGATTCGGTTGCAGACGCGAAAACGGACACTGATGCTATGGTGGTATTCTATTTGATTCGTCTACAAAATTAAATATTACATCGCACATTTTCCTATTGCTGCGACTTAGTGTGGACGCCCACAAAGATCTGTAATACGGTCTGGCTGGCTGGTTGCTTCATAGCTTTTAGACGTGATTAAACTTCACGAAAGACAAGGAAACGTGTAAGAAATTTACAGAACATGACAAGTGCATAATAAGAATTTAATATTTTAGCTATTTTTCGAGTAGTCTTTCCGCAAGTGTAAGCACTATTTGATAATATGGTTCCGTCCTGGGACCACTCTTGATTTCAGGGGTGAAGCTCCTTATAGCATCACCTAGTTGGTCGTCGATCGCCGTCGCTCAGTTCAGCGTACTACCCCTGTAGCGTCTCCTTTATCATTCACTAGACGGTGCTGTCCCATAGAAATGCATAGAGTTACTGTATATGCTACCTTTAGGTAAGGGTAGCATATACAGTAACTCTAAAATGCATGCACACTGCAGTTGGGTCCCGATATACTAGATGGCGTTGTATGCATTCTATGTCGTCATGGCCATTTCTTGCCTTGTTTCCTAGATGGCGCTGTCCCATAGAGATACATGCAGAGTGGTGGTTGACATAATTTACTATCTGCGTTAATTAAAACCCGAACAACTGCAAGCTTTTGCGATAGTATAGTGCGCGCTGTGCAGTTATCGGGAATGACTGGCACGCGTATCCCGTTCGGCAGCTCTGCGCATATATGCGTGGCTGTGCACGGTGATAAGTGGACGGCGCGCACTATACAATAGTGAAGGCAATCGCCGCTGTTCAGGTTTCACTTGACGCAGATAGTGCACTAGGTGGCGTTGAAGGTGCAGCTTCTCTCTGATGGGCTGCTGCGTGAGGCTGCGCGAGGCTGCGCGAGATGCGAGTGCCATAAAAGGGTGCTCACTCCCGTTACCTCTCATTCTCCTGGATTGCCGCCGTACGTGGAGGAGTACCCTTACCAGATTATGCTTCGTTGGACGCCTAGATGGATGCATAAACTGATTAACGCACGGACTGACGGAAGTATGAACGCACGGAAGGACAGATGGACAATTTGCCTCACTCATCATCATTCACTCCGTAGATATCCTGTGATCGTTTGAGTATCAACCGCGGTGCTATTTCAGCTGAGTGGGATGCGTGGTTCATGAAGAAGAGAACACGACACCTAGTATATATATCTGCTTCGTGGGCGACATGGCACAGGGCCTTGTAGGGAATGGGATTAGGGCATAAAGAGAATAGTAGGAGGAGAAAAATATAGAAGACGGACTACTCGTCGCACGGGAGTGACAGAAAGAAGGATGAGGCAGGAAAGAATAGGGGACACGGTCGAAGGAGTCCAAGGACGGGCACCACTTGGTGAAGGCTACACGGCGTAAGGGGATCGCGGACGGCAGGACGATTGGCGAGAGCCACGCTGGCGTCAGAGATCGTGGGCGACACAATCATTCAGGCTGGAATTCAGTATCTTGGGACTAGTCGCCTGCATTTTCCAGCCCAGCCACGAGAACGAAGTCTGACAAGAAGGAGAGTGTGGGTAAAGCCGGTTGAGTGAGAGGGAAGTGTGGTGTAGCGGGGGTTGTGCCTGGTAAAAAAAGGGTAGTGACGTGGATTGGGTGAACCTAGGTTCAGAGGAGGTCAGAGAAGGCCAAGCTACTCGCGGATAACTTCAGTCAAAACGCTACCTTGTGGAGAGAGAACGAAATAGCCTGTTGAGATTCATGTAGCAGGTGACATGCACTTTCGCACTGTGGTGACGTTTCGGGGGGAGGCTCCGTCATCAGCAAAAAAAAGAATACATCGCGAAGTGGCTTTTAGGGGCGAAACTCCTTACGCCGTGGGTCGAATGTCCCGTGTCATCGTGTTCGGCGTAGTAACCAGCCTCTCGTTTTAGCCTTACAATGTCTGCTGTATGGTGGTACTTGTATGTGATGAATATATGACGAAAAATGCGAGATGGCTGTACTTGGAGTGTTCACTAGATGGACGGATCGGATGGACAGACAAACGGACAACGGATGGACGGACGCATGGGTGGACAGGCAGACAGGCAGACAAACGCACGGACGGGCGGATGAACCGACTCATCATTATTCACTCCACGTATATTCTGTGATTGTTTTGCGATTCTTATGCACGTGGTTGAGATGCAGAGGTGTCGATCATCGAAGAAAACTGTTTATTGTTGTTCGTGTATCGGCAGCAGCCTTCGTTGATATAATTTGTTGTGTCATAGTCAGATACCGCAAGACAGATTTGCACTCTACAGACAGAAAAATGCCCCGCCGTGGTGGTCTAGTGGCTAAGGTACTCGGCTGCTGTCCCGCAGGTCGCGGGATCGAATTCCGGCTGCGGCGGCTGAATTTCCGATGGATGCGGAAATGTTGTAGGGCCGTGTGCTCAGATTTAGGTGCAAGTTGAAGAAACCCAGGTGGTCGAAATTTTCGGAGCCCTCCACTAGGGCGTCTCTCACAATTATATGGTGGTTTTGGGACGTTAAACCCCACATATCAATCAAATCAATTACAGACAGAGTAAGAACAGTGTCTTTTTCTTGCACAACAGTAGCGATCGTTTTGTTTGTTCGCGCTTCATTTTTTCAAAACTCAGAGCTGGCCTTTTTCCTATCAAGAATACTATGTCACTCTCATAACGCGTACGTCACTCGTGACCTAAAAGTGCCGAGAGCGTGGCGATAGGGCAAGGGAAGAAACGCAAAATAGGTGTAAATATTTGTTGTGGGACAAAAAGTCGCTCTTTTTACTCGATATTTTCTTGTAGTGTTTCCTTCAAAGCTCTCCAAAGCTCACGCGCACTGCAATGCTTCTTTTTGTTTTTGAGGGCATGAGCACTTCTGTAATCAACGCTAGTGCGTGTAGTGTGTTTCTATGTCTTGGTCCTTCTGGGGCTGTTTTTCCCCAGCTTGACTCTCAATGGAGGTCGCCGAGTAGCGAGCGCATGCGACGGACGCGAATCACATCGGCTCCGGCTCAGGTTCAATTTCAAGAAGAATTTTTCCTGGCGACCTGTTGCAACAATAAGAACTTGTTCCTAGCATCACCACTGTCAAGCCTATACCGGACTTCAACCTGTGAGTGCGCTTTTAAACGTTTTAACGCTTTCGAAAGTTCTTGAAGAGGTCCACCTCGCTAACCCTAACAAGCCGGAGACGCGGCTTGGACAGAACGCCGCCCCGCTCTACAGCGGATGGCGAGCGTCTCTGGGAGCGTCGCAGCCGACGAGAAGCACTCATTGCCCTCTCGCTCCACGGACCACATGATGGATACGCAGACCAGTCAAGACGCCGATACGCAGGCGAGCAATGAGCACAACGCAAATCAATGGATCACTGTTACCAAGAGAGCGAACAAACGCCGACAGCTGCAACCCCATACCGTACCGACTCAACAGCTGCCCAGCATGCCGTCTGAGTCCACTCTACGCCAGAGCCGGCCTAAGACGCGTCTACCAAGACTCCCACCGCTCCCTGCCGAGGACTACAAGCTAGAAATCCGTCCCCATGGTGAATTAAATCTCAGCAAGGTTAGCCCCAAGACATTACTTCTTGCCGTAGTTCATGCAGCAAATATACGCAGTGAGAAGCCTGATATCAAGCTTCGAGTTGACGAAAATAAAATTTGCTAACAATAAGCACCTCATCTGAACACATCGCCATGGCACTTGGACAAATCACCAAAATTACAGTGCACGCAGCAACCTACGACATCACCTCTTATGGTATTGCGCCTGATAATTCATGCAAAGGGGTGGTCAACAGAATAGGCCATGAAACCACACCAGACGACTTCTTGACAGAAGTTGAAGTACCGGGCTAAGAGGTCCTTACGTGCAGACGCCTCGGCAACTCCGGAGCAATGGTGCTCACATTATGTGGCAAGCGAGTCCCTTTCTTCGTGAACGCGTACGGACAGGCTCTCCGCTGCTACCTCTACAAACGGACTATTCCCCACTGTAGAAAGTGCAACAAAACTGGACACCGTGAGGATGTGTGCCCACAGCCTCCAGACACACCGAAATGTCGAGTGTGCGGGGATTCACTATCACCCAACAACCACGAGTGCCGCCCTTCTTGCATGCTTTGTGGTGGCGACCACCCGACGGCTGCCAAACAATGCCCAAAGCGGTTTTAGATGCGGAGCATCTAATACTCGAGGCTTGTAGTGCGGCGCCGTCCGCAAACTTCCTCCTCCTTCTTCCACCATCTGTGCATCCCTTCCTCCTCTACACACCGCGCGCGCTTCACTCCTCCACCATCTGTGCACCCTTCCTCCTATACACACCGCGTGCGCTTCTCCTCTTCACGAACATTCGCTAGCTGTATAATATAGCGCGCATGCGCCGTCACGCTTCGAGAACATCGGCAGCTGACGCGCGCGCATGTGCCGTCGCGCTTCGAGAACATCGGCAGCTGACGCGCACGCATGCGCCGTTGCGCTTCTCCCCCTTCTCGAACATTCGACAGCTGACAGTGCATGCGCCGTCGCGCTGTATATATACTCAAGGTCGGCGCTCGCTCGCTCAGTTGCCGCTCGTCGGTTGGTTTGTACGGCGCGTCGACGTCCAAGGTCGTGGTGAAATGAATTCCAACGAATCCACAAACACAATGATCGACGTTCCTTCGACCAGCGCCGCCCTTTCGCATACGTGTGTACGTGTTCACTCATTTAACACCCCCTCCTACAACCACGT